GGTAGTTCTAATAATATTATGTTGCGCAGTATTTATTATTTTACTTCCATTGTTTCTATAGGAACTCACAGACGTGGATACGTTGAACGAAAGTGAGGAAGGAGCAGGTATTCTGGTTGACGCATTGCTAAAGAATCAAATAGTGGAGCTACTTGTCCAGAACATGGAACGGCTGGACGAGTCGAACCGAACCGAGGCAGACGGGGTGCAAAACACGTTAGCCGTGTTTGAGAACATTTCTGACTTTCGAGTGGACATATGCTCCACTTCGGTTGTCAACGGTCTGATGACGTGGATTCTGAAGCGCTTGAAGACAAAGATGTCGTTTGATATAGTTCGATTGTATTGCTCTGAATTGTTAGCCGCCCTGCTGGCTTTCCAAAATAACCGAGAGCTGCTTGGCGAAATCGACGGCGTCGACACCCTGCTGCAACAGTTGGCCTTGTACAAAAGGCATAACCCATCGTCCAGCGAAGAAATTGAGTACATGGAAAATCTGTTCGACTGTCTTTGCGCTGCTCTTCTGTACGCCCCAAATAAGGTGAAATTCCTCGAAGGCGAGGGTCTACAGCTCATGAATTTGATGCTCAGGTAAATATTGATTTTTCGAAGGCATTGGATGACCACAGACTTGTTGTTTTAAACGATTTTTAATTTGATATTCGATAATAAGTCCTCGAAGCCTGTAGTTTTATTTCAACCACGCTAACAGGGAAACGAGAGGCAGTACTCTGCTACAGCGCGAGGTATGACAAAATATTTTTTTCAATTCAAGATATTCCTCAAACAGTGAACCTACCAGGCTATGATAAAATTGTCTCAGATTAGTCACCCGATTGTAAGTGAACGTGGCATCGATAAGCAGCTTTTTGTGGCTTACGAATTTCTGCTTGGAAGAAAAATGAGAGCTTCACTGTGTAGCGTTTATCTTCTGTTCTAAATTTGATTCTGGATTCTCGCCAGTGTCTAGTGCCTCGCTGCTGTTTTAGTAACAGTCGAATGTTCTTAGAACTGTAATTTTATCTTATACTCATTTAGTGGTATCTGCAGTGGCCGACAAGACTGCTTCAGGCAATGTGGCACATTGAATTTTTAATGATCAGTTAGCTGTTTTAAATAAAGGTATACAGTTTAGTGTTATGGATACAGTTCTTTTTTCGTTAAATTATACCTAACGTCCTTCCTAAATTAAGCAACAATTTAATGAAACCATTTATAAAATGTATTAAATCTCCCTTGATCTCCATTAAATACCAAAAACCTGATTTACTGAAGATATCATAACACTGTTTATTTGTATACAAAGCAGACAATTTGGACAGCTGAATAATTCAAAGTTTCCTCCAGTTTTTCACGCGTTTTTTCAAAAGTAGAGGGGTGCGACAGGACTAGTCCAGTCCGCAAAAATTTCATATCTTTTGTCATGATCAGCAGTGTAGTACGACCGGATGATTAATGCATCCTTATTGCGTCTGTTCAACAAGTGTCTCTCTTTGATGATGCCTTAACACTGACCGTAGGGGTGCGTGTCCTTCCTATGCCGCCTGCTGCACCATTCCGGAGGTTCCTTTTCGTAAGGTTCCTTGACTTGGCTGTAGGTGAGACTTTGTTTTCTTCCCTGATTTTTCTTCACTTTTCGAAGAGTCGTCAACTGGACAGACTTTAGACTTGTCCCAAATGTGGCAACCCCGAAGATAATTACCTTCTCAGAGAATACATTTCAGTGCACCTAACTCTGTTGCCTAATTGCGTATCATAAATTGACCACTCTCTACCCACGCAGTACCGTTAAATTTGAAAAGGCATTAAAAATAAGGAGCTAACAATTTTTAAATAAGGAATTAAATATTTACTGTAATGACGAAGTGACCATTTCGCATCTTAATTTCAGAGAAAAGAAGATGTCGCGGGCGAGCGCACTAAAGGTGCTTAACTACGCTACAATGGATGAAAGTGGCCGAGAGAACTGCGACAAGTTCGTCGAGATCCTCGGCCTGAGGACGCTGTTCCCGTTGTTTATGAAGTCTCCGTCGCAGGTGAATCGCGTCAACCTACCGCCTGAAAAGCATGAGGAACACGTATGTTCGATCGTCTGTTCGTTGCTGAAATCGTGCAGCGGACAACAGAAGCAACGCGTGTTGAGCAAGTTCGTCGAGAACGATCACGAGAAGGTAGAGCGACTGATGGAGCTGCATTTCGCCTATATGGAGAAGGTTCAGGCTTATGAGAATACCCACCAACGACGGCAGCAGATGGCGGATGATGACTTAGAAGACGAATACCTGAGGAAGCTGGATGCAGGCTTGTTCACTCTGCAGTTGATCGATTATATCATGGCTGAAGTGGTCGTGTTCGGTTCCGTATCCATTCGCGACCGTGTGGTGAAGATTTTAAATCTGAAAGGTGAATCTTTCGACTCGTTCAAGAAGGTGCTCACCGACTATGCGGAAGTCATTGGTGACAACGACAAGAACACCCCTGAAGTCATGGCAGAGCTTAATCACATCCGTGAGCTATTATCGAAACTGTAGCGACAAATTCAGTGATCGACTGTTTCGACCGGATCGTCAGCCCGGTGTTTGCCTCTTTTCAATTCATTGTTGAAGCGCTCTCCAAATTCAGTCCGTATACACATTAGTCACCTTACAGAGTTTGATACTCCTTGTGATTTGTTCGCCTGTTCCTACCTTCAGCAACATTACAAGCTGTAATTGGTTTACTCAACATGAATGACAGGCTTAGAAAGCAGACCGTATTTTTAAAAACAGTGTAAATATTAAAGTTTGCTGTTTGCACACTACCGTGTTTAGTTGGTATCTTCTGAAACTAATCTCCAGCGCACTCTAGAAAGGTTTGTAGACGAGTGCGACGTGGCCAGTATCAGTATGAACGTACCTAAAATCAAAAGTCTATGCATTCTCGTTGCTATAGCCACTGCCTACAGATAAACGGAGTGTGGTGAAACAGTGGAGAAATTTGCTTGCCTCAGAATCATGTTTACTGATGATGGAACGTGGGAGAAAAAAGTTGACCGACGAATTTGAATGGTCAGTGGCATTCAGCGTGAACTAGATCGAACCGTTGTCAGTCTGAAGAGTAAGCTCCTCTTTGAGTTCAGTTCTGTTTTCATTATGATGCTCACCTACGGTCATGAATCGCGACTGAAATGCCTCGATCACGAATACAAGCGGGTGAAATTGGCTTTCTGAGACGAATCACTGGGTTCACGTGTCTCGACAATCCGGGCATCACACATCCGAGAAAACATCGGTGTACAACCGCTGCTTCTGCAGGAGGAGAAATCACAGCTGCAGCGGTATGGGCACGTTGTTCGAATGCTTCAAGAAAGGAAGGTGAAACAGCTACTGTCCTTTACCTGACCGACCGAAAGCCCTGGGAAAAGCTAAGACTGTTTGACCTGGCGCAAGTGTCTCTGCAGACTCTGGCGATCTTCTGCCGAAGCTTTAACGCTAGCACATGACCAGCCTCGGGTTATCAGGAACTTTGAGACATTGTCTGACACGCTTGCATCCCTCTGTTATGTGAACCTTTGAGAGTCTGAAATATGAGGGGCAGAACTTATCTGTGGTACAGTTCTACACATACATGGCATTTGCTGAACTTCTGGTTCTAGAATTCACTGAAACCTTTCAGAAATAGTACAATAGATTGTTGATGCCACTTAACAACGTTAACGCCCTAACCGCATGATCACTTCGATGGTTACAGAAGCAAGTCGATCACAAATCTCTGCTCAGCCAATCTTGACTCTGGCGAAGGATGGCAGAGTCTTTCTTCCGGAGTCCGGCGAGCTCTGCATGTGTGGAATATGTGATCTACGGCAGCAAACAGTCGAAAACAAACAATCGAGCCATCTTGCTCGAAAGTGGAGGCATTCGTCCAGAACGTCAAACACTTGGGATGATTTCTATTATCTTACGACTAGTTCAAACCGTCAAGGTTCCAAGTGAATCAAGGTTGGAGCTTTACTTTATGATAGAGCAAGGTGATAACGGTTCTGATCGACATATTGGGGGGGGGGCGGGCGTCCTGTCCATTAAACCATACACAAATAACTGCTTCGTTGAACAAGACCTATAGATGGCGGATAAATATCAAGACGTCCTGCCAGACAGAACGCAGGTTCTATTTAGAAAAAAGCTAACTCAATGACAAGCTGTTATTTCCTCCGCTTACAGCTAATTAAGCCGGTTCTTACCAAATTTTTCTTCAACAGTAGCTGAAGATCTTGCACTAACCATTCGCAGTTAATATCTATATTCAGTAAAATCTGTTTCGTGCGTTGCCGAAGCAAGGATTCCTCAATGAGTTCTCACCTGTTAATACTGTTCCTTTGAACTGTGCAATATTTTCAGTTTGTTTACACTATCTTTCACCAGTATTTTGGTCTGCGTCTAATCTTCAATACAAGGATAACGGCCTTTAACTATACGATTTTGTTCTCTCCAGCAACTGATTTGCGAATCAGGGAGAAATTTTTATACCAAAAAAACTAACGTATCTTCCATGTGTACAAAAAAGCATACCATCACTATTTTTATCGATATCGACTCGGAACATACGCTTCAGTGGGAGGCCGATAGGTTGAAAAGGGAAGGATTTTGTTGCCGTCCATGGCATTCAAACGTTCGTTCAATTTTTCTAAGTCTTTCTGTGTCATTTCCTTGTCAGGAGGAGCCAAAGGTAACTGCCGCTCCGGAAATTTCCAAGGATCAGTTCTATATGGCTGCTGACCTGAAAAGGAGGATTCCGCTTTGACGTTTGCAGGGCGCAAATCCGGTTTCGTTTCTGCCTTGTCTCCATGCGAAACTTTATGCTTTTTCTTCTCTTTGTCATGATCTTTGTGTTTCTTCTCCTTCTTATGTTTCTTTTTGTGTTTATGCTCAACGGCTTTTGTTTCTTCCGCTAAAAAGTTCGCTTATTACAATGAAGCGATCGTTTCCGCAAGAACAGGGAATAATTATTACAAGTCGGAAGTATTTATTAACAATAGCATAACTTTTGGAATCTTCAGCGACGGTGTGAAAATTTAGACTGTGAAAGGGTCGGATTTACCTGATAATTCACATAGTTGAAAAGATTGCAATAAACAGTCGCATTCGAAGGCAAATTAAGGGCGGAGTAAAGCTGCCTAAATGAATAGCTAAAAAATACACACACCAAACTATTCACACACCTTTAAAGCAAATCTACGTAAGAAAGAAAATAGGTACCGGAACGCAAAACACTGTTAAGAAATATGGAAAAGTGGATTAGACTGCAGTGCCCGCATCCAAAAACAGAATGAAAAGTTTGCATCACGGTATTACGCTCACGCGCAGAGGGCAGATTATGAAAATTCAGAGATGGAAATAAACGCATTCTTGTTAAGCGTTAAAAATGAGTGAACTGTTTCATGCACACTGCATACTTCTAATTACATATGACTCACCCACTAATTCCACTTTCCTAAAAGTGATCATACGCAAATTTCGATCAATTCTGAAAGTTGTCGGGCGGAGCAGGTCAGGTGTCCTTAATGAATTTCGTAAACACAGCAGGAAGTACGATCGACTGTAAGGCTTGCTAAGTTTGTTCAAACCGATTCTCTTCATCCTCTTCATCTTGGTTGAAAATGCACTTCAAGGTCCCATTCAACAAGGTCCGAATATGTCTGCATCTATGTGAGGACTGAAGAATACAGAAAATCTATTATTCCTTGGATTGCTCAGACGCGGCATAATCTTCTTGAATCTATCCTTTCATGTTATGTTCATGTTCATGTTAATACATGCAATTAAATATCCATCTGCATTAACTTCCTATCAACCGATCAGCCTCCTCTTCATGCTGCTTCTTTCATTGTTTCATTAAAATGCATACTGTTTACGCAGTAAACTCTTGACTGACTGAATGAAAGAACCGTCTCAACCTTTCGGTCCTTTCATTCAGGACAGTATCGAGACTTTGCAATGAGGTGACATGCTGTGTACGTATCACACTTCTGTTCTACAGTACCTTACTCTATGCCTTTACAATAAACTTACAACGCTTATGGAAGCAGTGCTTTACGAACCATGTAAAACTCAGCGGACTACAAATGGCAATTCTGCGCAGTGGGTAGGTCAAAGAGTCCACCAAAGGGTAATCCAAAATGCATTAGTTAATGTTTAAACGCGGCAGTTTACATTTGACGGAAAAATTAATAACTGTCATAAAAAGAATGAAATATTTCACGAATGTAGATAAAACTAAGTCTATAAAAGCGAAATGTACGAAAAAACTTACGAGGGGGCGGAGGCTTTTCAGGAGCGCAGCCTTCCAGAAGCAATTTCAATTTTACAGGATCTTCGTCCCCATGTACTTTCGGAACTTTGTATTCTTCAACATGGTCCACTCGTATTGTCCTGTTTACCAACTGAAAAATAACTAATAAATTAGGTGTCAGTTAATGGCTGTTATGATTTTACTGACTGGTTCAAATCACCAAAGAATTCTGCTTTAAAAAAATGTGCAACGCATTTCTAGACAAAGACAAATTAAAAACACCCATATATCTGTCTATCAGTGCTAAAACCTTGACTATAGCGTAATTATGATCATTGCGTCCCTATGCAAAACGACAGAATTTTTGCGTAGATTTACCGAATTTATGACTGCTTTATAAAAAAAACCATGTGGTGAATTTTCAATGTTTTCCTGATTAGATTTGGCATATTTGTTTCGTTCACTGCAGAAATAATGGCAATCATTTATCTCCCTTGAAAAGATGTGATCTTTAAATGCGAATTAGACAAAATCGTATGCAACAACTGTTTTAAATCATTATTGCCATCTAACATACGGTTTGTCTTACTACGATAAAGCAACGAAGCTGCTGCATGATGTAACCCCCTTAAAACAGAAAACTGATAAAAAAATACCTTAATGCCATTAAAGTTATCCACTGCCAAAATCGTACTGCGTTGATCTTCGTAACACAGGAAACAGAACCCTTTCGACTTGCCGGTCTTTCGATCACGAATCAAGTTGATATTGACCACTTCACCATACCTGTAGCCAACAAATAGTGTTAAAATCACATTTTGGCTTAGCGAAAAAAAGCTACTGTGAAAAAGCGCTGATCACATCGCCTTCGCTAAGTTCGTATGGCAGACCGCCGATGAACACCCAAGCCGAGTTCTTGTACTTCTGATGCCAGGAGCGGTTCACGTCGCCAGCGACGCCGATCTTCAGCTCAAGTTCATTCATCTTGTTCAGATTCTTCATATTTCTGTAAGTAAACTTAAGTCACAACCGAATATATCTGAAACTGCACTGGCAACATGAGAAACAAATTACAAGAACATTACAGAATTTAATGGCTGTCGAAATCATACCAGTTAATAAAAAGCTTCACATTAATCCATGCTCGTCTTTTTGACGTCGACGATATGACCTTAACCAAATCTGTTTTTAGTGTACCTTGACAACGAGCTAAGAAAGGCTAGAAATGTCAGTCATTTCTGTAATAAAATCTACAGAGGAGCAATCCCATAAAAACATGAAGACCAGATCAGGGTAAATAGTCTGTTGCATAAAAGCAGAATGTTCAATTTTCAAGCTTTGGTTCACCCAACTAATAGATAGTTTAACAGAAGAACAAACTTTAAAATTTACCACGCCATAACAACTACAAGAAAGTGCAACCACCATTCAGTGATGTTACATTATTCTACTTTGTATATGAAAGAATGTGCAATAATAATTTAAAACATAATATATAAATTCTAGAGTGCACAGAAAAGCTAGCATTGCCGCCCTTGGAATGTAGAACACCGCACTTTCCCCTGTGACCCAAAAACAATGAATGCATTAACTTATCTGACTGAAAATTACCTTTAGGTGTAATGTGTAACAAGGAGATTCTGCCTAAGGCTGACGTGAAGCATCTTGGAAACCATTAAGTAATGAAACAGATGAGAAACAATACATCTTATCGTCCTGCATTCTAGGACTGAAACGTTTGGTATGTGTTTTCGCCTAAACATGATACATCCTGATCAAAACAGAAAGAAGGA